TCCATGATAATATTATTATTAATCATAATATTTAATGGTGTTGGATGTTTAAGCCCTAGATAAGATTTCAGTATACCCCGGGTACGTCTACCGTTCGATTTACATTTAATGAATTGGTTATTATAATAAATATTTTCAGATAGTTTACATAACCTTGAAAACATGTTTTTATATTTACCATAAGCTAATTTATCAGATCCAGATCTGGAATTTAGGAATGTTTTATATAGTTTGTTTTTAGTTACAGAGTTATATATATATATATATATATATATATATATATATATATATATATATATATATAGTAGAATAGTCAGTAGTTATTTTTGTTATTATTGTTAGTTGCGTTGCTGTTGTTGTTGCTGCTGATTTTTTGTTCTTTGCGACATTCATAATTTCCGATAAGACATAAACCTTTGTCTGTTGTTTTTGTTTATACTGATCTACCGTTAGAAAATTCGGAAAGTTAAACAGGAGGCTAATTAACGCCGAACATGCTGTGATTTTCATCAATAGATATAAATATATCTATTGTATATATAATCCAGGCTTGTGTGTTATTGATAATAAGCTTATTGGTCACCATAATCATCGATACAACAGATCATAACTCAAATATTTATCAAAGTTTATCAACCATTTGTCATAAGCACAACTCACGTTCTTCTGTCTAAAAACCGGCTTTATAATAACCAGATTATGACAAAACGCAATAAATATTTATAACACTTTGAAATTCGATCAACTTGTAAAATTTTAATGATCTAAATCAGATTCGAACTTAAAAAAAAACAATGAAAGCTTGTTAGAGGTTGTGTTTGCCTATGTGTGCGCACATGTTTTGATATAATGATATAACACGGTTCTTATTAGATTGGTTTAGATTAGAAATGGTCTTCCTGGTTTGATAAGATGCTGACTTGCTGCCGTTAAAAAAAGTTTGTTGTCCTATGATACTGGAACCAAATTAAATTTAGAGCTAGAACCCACCAACAACCCACAAAAGTTAATTTTAAAATATTTTGAATACATCACGCCATATGACCAAGATAAAAAGTCTCAACTTTGAAACCTCAACAAAGTGATCAAATGTTTTCATATAAATACGCATGTTTATTCCTTTGTTCATATATGTCTGTACCATATCATACATAAATTAACCACTTGATAAACTCTCTTTTCTTTATGTAAATGTGTGCATGTATATGGGATATGTGTGGAAGGAAGGATGGTGTGCAAATGACTTTAAATGACAAGTTGAGATAAAAAAAAAGGATTACCTCCGCCATAATTTGACCGCCTTAAATTCCGATTAATTGCTCTGTTATCTACTTGATTTTTTTTATTTAAACTTTTCACGTTTATGTCATTATCGATTTCAAAATAAATCATCACTCTATAACTAACATGCGCAGTGGAGTTCACAAATAAAATTACATATTGTGTATGTGCGTGTATTCATTCATACATATATGTAGTTATAATTTTAAAAGACAAATTGATATAACTATCGTTATATGACTGAACTTATTTTTTAGAAATTATCAATTTTATCACCCAATCTAATTTATTTCAGTTATTTGCAACTTTAAAATTTCGGGATGGTTTCAGAGCATGACGAACGTTTGTCATCATTTTATTCAATAACATCATCGATCTGTAAATATATATATATTTATTTGTTTATTCATATACATTATATATGTGTGTGTGTGTTTGTGTGTGTTTGTGTGTGTGTGGTGTGTGTGTTTGTTTGTGTGTGTTTGTTTGTGTGTGTGTGTGTGTGTGTGTGTGTGTGGGTGTGTGTGTGTGTGTGTGAAAATCACAGCATGTTCCGCGTTAGTTTTAGCTTTCTGTATAATTTTTCGATTTTTCTAACAGTAGATCGCAAATAGACGTGTAGCAATGGGTTCTCCGTTGGGGGTACCTTTCGAAAACTTTCATTTGCAAATGAAAAAAACGCCGTGTCCAACACGTTGAAAACATTTAAACATATATAAATAAATATATACATATATACATACATACATACAAACAAATAAACAAACAGACAGACATACATACAAACAGACATAAAAACATACATACATACATATATTTCCAAGTAAAAATAGATTTCCCCCTTCTTCCCACTCTTGAATTTATAGTAGTAGAATTTACCCACAAGCATAGAAAATTACTTTGTTTGGTATTTATTGACCAGGTTCTAAACTTGTCACGCCATCGTTTTTAATGAATTGTCATCTGTTTTGGAACATACATGCATTCTCGGCGACAATTTGGTTATCACCGGTGACTTAAATGTTCACGTTGCTCAAGCTTATGATGCATCTGCGTCAAGTTTATCCGAAATTTTGGAATCATTTCATTTGATCAATGTTGTAAATCAGCCCACTCACAACATGGAGGGCACACTCGACTTGGTTGTCACCTCTGCAAATTTTTATCCATCAAGCTGTTGTGTTGATCCCAGTGGGGTCTACTCCGACCATAATTTTATAAATGTTTCATTCCCATGAGTGTTCGACACCCCAAAATTCATCAGGCGACTTGTACGTTCTGGGGCACGTGTTGATCTAAATTGTTTTGCTGTATTGATCTTTGACTCCCCCATTAGTGGGGCATCTGATATTACCGATGTTGATGTTGCTCTTGAACTGTTCAATCGTGAAATACACTCGATTGTCGATAGGGTTGCTCCATTGCAATCTGTCAATCATCGAGTTGTCTCTCTTGCTCTATCGTTTGACGGTGACTGCAGAGCGAAAAAAGGCTCTGCCGCAAGTTCCAAAGGCTAAATAAAGCCGTTCACGTTGACAAAAATAAACAGGCACGGCGGCATGCTCTTATTGAAAAGAGTATTTTATTTGCTGTTTAAAAAAATGATTATTGGAAAAATCACGTTGCTTCTTGCAATAATTGACCTAGACGTTTTTGGTCTAATATTAACAAATTACTTGGAAAAGATTGTGCTGATCTTTCTGGGATTGAATTTAATGCTTCAGACTATTCTTGGTTTATCAGCGAAAAGATTGCTGCGGTTCGCGATGCGACATGCGGCTCTTCCGGACCGTTTCTTATTCCTTGCAATTTACATTAAATTTTATCATTTTCTAGCTTTTCAACTTGTTCTAATGATTATATTAAAATAATTATACTTGATGCGCCTAC